CTCACCATATGCCTTCTTAACTGGGTGGCTGCTTTCAGGGAACGGTGGACATGAACACCAAGATCCCTCTGCTCCTCCACACTGCCAAAAATCTTTCCGTTAACCCTGCATTCTGCTTTCAAGTTTGTCCTTCCAAAATGAATCACCTCACACTTCTGAAGGTTAAACTCCATCTGCCACTTCTCAGCCCAGCTCTGCATCCTATCAATGTCCCTTTGTAACCTAGAACAGCCCTCCGCACTGTCCACAATGCGACCCACCTTCGTATCGTCCGCGAACTTACTAATCCACCCTTCCACTCCTTCATCCAAATCATTTTCAAAAATCACAAATAGAAGAGGACCCAGAACAGATTCTTGTGGTACACCACTCGTAACTGAGCACCATGTTGAATATTTTCCGTCCACTACCACCCTTTGTCTGAGGGTCAGCCAATACTGAATCTAATCTGCTACATTTCCCCCTATCCCATGCCTCCTTACCTTCAGCATGAGCCTACCATGGGGAACCTTATCAAACGCCTTACTTAAATCCATGTATACCACATCCACTGCTCTACCTTCATCCATGTGTTTGGTCACCTCTTCAAAGAATGTGCAGAGGTGGAGAATGGAGTCAAATTTCTGCAACAGCTGAATTTGAGGAGGACACTCCATAATTCCTCCCAGTTGATAGAGTTGAGAGCTTTTGTGAAGTCAAGGAAGGTCACAGAGGTTGTTGCTATCTTCTGAATTTTTCTTGGACAGGGCTTACTGTGAAGATCATATCCACTGTGCCTTTTGAATGATGATATCTGGATTGTGACTCAAGGAGGAGCACTTCAGCCACTTGGGAGGAGGCAACCAAGGAAGATTCTTGGGATGACTTTTCTGTGGTGGATAGCACGGAATCCCCTCTGTTGTTACCGTAAACAATTTTCCATTCTTTTGAGAAATGATCACAATCAGAGGTCACTTGGTATGCTGTCCTCCTTCCAGATGAAATTTACTGATTCACCCATTAACTCTCACTTATTCATTGAGAGACATACAACATTTCAAAACTTAGCAACACAGTAGCTAATACACTAAAAGATGCATGTATTTCCCTTTTCCTTGGGTGGTCCAGCACTCGCTTGCACAGGAACATTCTGTTTCAGTCAGGATAGCTAATGGGCAATTCCATCAGGCGCAGAATATTTCACGGACAGTGGCAATGCCAGCAGCACTGAGCGTTGAAATTAGGTCAGTCTGGTTGTTCTAATGCTTTCCCTCACCCTCAAAGTTAATCAAAATTTTAAATCCTGCTTTCTCCAAAAGCCAGATCATTCACCATTTTATTCTGCTTAATCTTTGCTAACTTCAATTTGCATTGTTTATGCAAATATTAGAAATAACAGTTTAATTTAACTTCTAGCACATTTCTGTGGTCATCAGCATTGAGTTCAATCTCTATTCAGAAATGAAGCTTTTTCATTAGCCTACGCAATATTAAACCTTTGCTGGTCAGGAAGGGCCATAGCTGACTGTAAACAAAATGAAACCTGCCAAACTGCATTGTCTTGATGAAACAGATAACCAAGTGGTTATCAATTTTTAAGCCATTTTGGTCTGTAGAACACATTCATTAGAATAAGATTGTATTAGATATACTTTCACCTCATCAACCCGATTTAGCCTTGAACCTAGATTTTAAAGTGAAAGAACAGTTGTGCTAAAGGTTTGGATCACCCAGTTCTTTTTTAATCAGATAGTATTTGTAAGTTTCTTTGTGTATATGTTGCTAGTGCATTGGATTTCTCAACTTTTTAATTTGCCTTGTTTTTATTGTTGCACTGTTTTTGTAATTTATTTAACAAATCACATTACAGGCGACTCTCTGACTTACACTAACTTCCTAAAAACTGACAAAACAGGAAAAATCTGCTAACAGTGACTTAGCCAGGCAGACACAAGACAAAACACCGGATATGAAGGGAAATGTTACTTTTCCTCTTTTCCTAATCTAATAGGTGTAAATTTATCTCTATCAGTTTTTTTTTGCTGGAAATACACTCCTAAAAGCATTTTTTAAAAAGGATTTAATAGTAAATCTTGCCTTATTTTTTCGTGGACATGTTATATAAAAACTATGTTTTGTAATTTTTGCGTGACACAGGAATAAACAGAAAACCCTACAGGTAGAAAGTTTGTTTTTAGTACTTCTGTATTTTGCCACCAGAACAGGATACAGGAAAGTGCACCCATCTGTGCTCATAACCAGGAAACACTAGGAGAGAAAAACAGATACAGAGCTGGATTTTCCTGCTTTCATGACGTAAAGTTACTGTGATTGAGCCTTGAGTCAACAGCAGCTGACAGGAACAGTGAGCATCTCAGCCCTAACAAATACTGTAACATGCAACTTTGAGAGTGACTCAGCCCAAATACTGTACTTGTGTTTGGTAGCTTTTTCTACATTCACAGCAAGACAATGTTTAACAAACATAAGGTGATATGATTTCTCAATATGATAGCTCATGTTATCAAGGAACTATTCCTTTCCAGCATAGTGGGCAAGTTTACTAATCCATGTAAGATGGATGAGCGTTTCAAGATTGGCCCATTTAATCTCTTTATTTTAAGCGTTCCAAGGGAAAACCTGCCTTAACATCAGTTGTAGCCAATTAAAATCCTGTATTGCTCAAACAAAAGTGGAAAATCCCAGTTGGCAGAAAGAAGGATAAGTACAATGTTTTAAAATCACAAATTTGGGCGGTTTGGTTATTGGAACAAACTGAAGCAAAATTAATTTTAAAATGTAATTAAAACTGATGACGTACTTATTTCATGAATTGATGTCACAGTAATTTAGCTATTCTGTTCTGAAGAAGGGGCACTGAACCCAAAACGTTAACTCTCTTTGTCTTCACGGATGCTGCCAGACCAACTGAGTTTTTCCAGCAATTTGTTTTTGTTCCTCACAGGCGTACTACTGTTACAAGTCTCACACTATTCTCACTGAGCACACACGGACAGCTATTCAACTAAGACAGCCACATCACCCAACTCATCGCAGGACGCTCACTGATGCATTTCTATTTTTCTCATAGAACAAAGTGAAACATAACAGCAGGCAGTTGCAATGAACTGGAATAGGACTACTGCATTTTCATATTTTATCTCCATGGAGGTGACATGCTAGCCATCATGGGAAGGACATTGTTGAAGATATTAGGTCACTGGTGGGGCTGAAGTAATTTATGAATGATGGTGGCCAGAGCATCAAGGGAGTCCATCAATCTGTTTCCTGCATTTTTGCTTCCATCTCTGCCACTTTGCCAGCATGCATTCTGACAGGCAGCCAACCTAGAGTGCTGTAGCCTGGACCAGGTTTGATGCATTCCACAGCAAATGTCCTAAGCCCACAACTGTTTGAGGCTGTCCTCACGGATATTTGCAATCTCCTCATTCAATTGAAGGTTAGCAGCTTTCTGCCACTCATGCTAGAGTCAGTGAGGATCACTAACAGAGGCATATAGAGGTCTACAGCATGGAAACAGGCCCTTCAGCCCAATTTGACCATGCTGCCCATGCTCTTGTACTCTACGTCCCTATTAATAAAGCTGGACACTGTACACTATTAACTGCGCTCTCCACCTTTCCTGCCACCTTCCATTGTCCCTGCACAAATACAATTAGGTCCCTTTGATCCTGCATTCCCAATTGCATTGACTGCTGAAATGGAGATTCATAGTTCATAAATTTTAAACAAATTAAACTTACAAAAAGGTACACGTTTTATATAAATTTTGATTGCAATATGTGTTTACTGGTGGTCCTTAATGGGAGAAACAAGCAGGATGGAACGACTGTACATGAGCCTGAAAAGGTTAATACAGAGGAATGCCAAAAGCACTGCCCACCATGATGATGTCATTTGATTTTGTGGGCAGAACTGTTTAAGATCTCAAAAGGTGTAAGACCAAATATCTGGTCCTTCTCAAAGTCTCTATAACAATATCTATCATATTAATGTAACCTGTAGCTAGCTAGCTGTTAACATTCAATAAATATCTCCTGTTAACTACATGAGTCTCTTCTATTTAGGCCAGGAACTGGTTTATCTTTACCACACTAGACCAAGCATGTCTTGTGGTTTTCTAAACTTGAGGATAATGGCAGCAAAGTTTATCATGAGGAGCGGCTCAAATACTGCACTGAGCTGGCATGCTCAGTCAGTCTGCTGGTGAATTGGGAGGTTTGGTTCAGGTTTTTGTATTGTTTATTAGTTATTACATTAGTTATTACAAGGCAGAAAGAGATTATCTACTTGTATCCTCGTTCTCTTCCAATTCCTGTTGAATTCCATTTTCTCTTGCAGCTGTTCCTCTGATGCTCATCTGATAAATAGTGGGAATGACTGCTCCCTTATAATAGCAAGATTGTGCATCATACCACCACAAACCTTGATACCCACACAACTGGGTACTCCTTAGCTGCAAAGTCATTCAGGGCGTCAGTGGTACACTTGATAATTTTCCCTCTGGCAAGATGGCTCTCATTATAGGCCTGCTGTGCACATATGCATGGATTCCAGACTATAGTCTTGAATGTAACGTGCAAAATGTTGCACTGTTTGTAGCAGCAGCCTGGAAGGAGTGAGATGCATAAAGTTAAGAGCCACAATCACTGAAAGCCACAGTATGGTCCTTGCCTTGCTTTGGACTTCCATTCGTGACTATAGCAGTTGCCAGATAGCTAAGAACTGTGAAGATTTTTGCTCAAGTTGAGGTAAAGATCCTTCATAAATCTGGTCTTCTGCTAAGAAGCCTTCCTTTTCTAGCAGTATGTACTTTTCTGTATGGTCTGTTCATTCTCCCAGTCATATTCAGTTCCAAGAGGAAGACCTGCCACACCATCCATGTCAGGAAGCAATTTATTTGAGCAAAAGCTTCAAAATCAACAAATGTACTTCAGCACTCGGCAGATAATTTTCTGTAAACTATTGAAACATTAGGCAATTAAGAAATGATTTACTACCTGTGAGGCTGATTCTAGGAATGGTTGGTTGACTTGTTGCTGGAGATCTCCTGTGGAAAGAGAGAAACAGAACAAATCAGCCTACCCTCATATCCATGCAGTTGAGTAATGTGGCAGCATTTTAGCCGGATACTAAATATATTTAAAAATTATGAGCAAGTCTTAACAGTAGCGTCAGGTTTGCAACAATTCAGAGAGAAATCAGGGTAAAAAGAAGACAATAATCAATTACAATCAAATTATTTTCAAAAGAATTTCATGAACATTTTGCTAGTTTTTTTTCTCTTTTATTCTGTATTGCTTAAGGTATGATGTTCCGGTATTGGTAGAACACCTTTCAATGTTACCTATGTAATTTGACTATAAAGGACTTGCATAGCAGGTGTAATATGTTTTAGATAAAGAATGAAAACTCAATACAGCATTAACTAAATCATTCAAATATAATGTCCAGTAGTATAGATAACCCTTTTTCATTTTTTGTATTCTTGTGATTCTGAGTAAAGGTACAAAACAGTTCATTGAATACATTGGTCATACTCAAACTCATTTCACATGCAACCCTGCAGTTGGTGGAGAAAGGAGGTTTTCATCCTATAGTTGGAGTGGCACAGTGGGTGAGTGGCTAGCACTGCTGCCTCACAGTGCCAGAGACTCGAGTTCAATTCCAGCCTCGGGCAACTGTCTATGTGGAGTTTGCACATTTTCCCTGTGTCTGAGTGGGTTTCCTCTGGGTGCTCCGGTTTCCTCCCACAGCTGAAAGATGTACAGGTTAAGTGGATTGGCCATGCTAAATTGCCCATTGTGTCCAAGAATGTGTAGGTTAGATGGGTTAACCATGGAAAATGCAGGGTTGCCGGGGGGCGGTGGTGGTGGTGAAGAGTGTCTGGGTGGGATGCTGTTTGGAGAGTCAGTGTCAACTTGTTGGGCCAAATGGTTTATTTCCACACTGTATGGATTCTTTGCTGAATTTTCAAATTAGTACCACTTCTCCTCCCAGAAGGAATGTTCAGTAGGATAGGACTTCTGTACTCTCGTCTGACACCAGTGCTACCCGAAACCCAGTTTATTCATTATACTGTATCCATCACAGCCTCTCTCAATCGTAACATCCCTTATTGTTGCAAGGGCTCCTGGCAGTTTCACTTTCCCTCTCCTGTTTGATGGTCGTGCAACAACCACTACATACCAAACAGCTAACAAAAAGTCAATAAGGAACAATTCAGATGGACCACCCTGCAAAAATCAGACACCAGAAACAACAATAACACATCCTGCCCAAGTGACCCTGCGAAGTTCTAACTAACAAAATTTGAAGAGCTATCTCAAGACTAAACAAGCAATAGCCTGACAAAGTCCTACTGACTAAGTCATAACTTACAGATGATGTACCAAACTCCTACATCATCATCCCTGGCTATGTCTTGCCCCAACTCTAGGACATGGTTTATACAGGTAGTGGCATAATGGAGGACAGTCAAAATGGAGTCCCAGACATTGACTTCAGATCTCACAAAATTTCATGTCATTAAATCAAAACATGGATTGTTTGTCCTCAGTCATTTGATGAATAAGTACTCTTTTATGTTGAGCAATACTTGAAAGAAGAATTGAAGGTAGTGCATTCCATGCCTTTACTGTCTGGGAAACTTGAATGCACCACAACTGACTGAGCTGGCCAAGAACTGAAGAACATATCTGCCAGTGATATCAATCATCATTTACATAGCAGTAACCTGCTCACTGAAACTGTTTTATAAGGTCCTGACTTCATTACAGCCTGAAACCCCCATTATCAATATCCTGAGGTTGCCATTGACCAGAAACTGCGCTATGGCTGCTACAGCAGGTCAGAGACTGGGAATTCAGCAGTAAGTAACTCAGTTCACAACTCCCAATGCCTGTTCACCATGTACAACAGATCAGAAGTCTGCTGAAATACTTTCAATTTGCCTGGCTGTTGAGAAGCACAATATCATCCAGGAAAAAGCAGCTCAATTGATTGACACCATATCTATCAACTTGAACATTCACGTTCTCTGCTGCAGTTTTAGAAGTATAGTGAACCATCACTAAAATGTACTTGAAGCTACAGGGTAAGCATTCTGTGACAGCCCCTTTCAAACATACAACCTCCACCTCCTAAAAGAATGAGGCTGCATACAGACTGGAAGACCATCACTTTTAGGGTCCCCTCCAAATCACACAACATCCTGACTTGTAACTGCCAGACTACCATTCCTTCATTGTTACTGTGTCAAAAATCTAATAGCACGGAAAGTGCACCTGTAATACATGGATTGCAGCTATTCAACGAGGCAAATCATCAACATTTCTCAAGGGCCACTTGCAATGGGGAACAAATGCTGGTCTTGCCAGCAACATGCACATCCTGTAAGTATTAAATTGCTTAAAATTAAGATATTATCTTTGTGAAAATTCTAAATATTCTCAGAACATTCTTTTATTACTCCCTTCCTCAGGACTGCATCAATCTTGTGATTTGAACATCTGATTTTCCCTTTCTTGACATTCATGAGTACTTTTGCTTCTTTCCCCTGTCTGAAGGGCCTGTTTCCATGCTGTACATCTCTATGACTCTAAGTGAATGAATGTTATGTACACCAATAATTAAGTTACCTGGCACATATCTTTATGTCATTGTCTTATAGTCTGAATTCTTCTTGTATTATCAGTTTTATGCAGCATTGCAATTTATTATGAGGCTGTTGGTTAGTTTTTGCTGTTCTACTAGCCATAGGATGTTGACATAACTTTATCATATGTCCTCCTAATTCAGGAAGATAGAATTTCCAAAGCCTTTGTTTCAAGTTCTTCACAAAATATCAACACAATTACAGATTGGAAAGAGGTGTGGTACACAAAGTACACAGACATACCTATGGAAAAATATACAGTGGAGTAGCATTAAAAAGAATGAAGTTATGCCAGTTTATGAGATAACAAGGTGTAGACCTGGATGAACACAGCAGGCCAAGCAGCATCAGAGTAGCAGGAAGGCTGACGTTTTGGGCCTAGACCCTTCTTCAGAAAATTTACCCAGTTTATGCTGGGTGTTGTCACTGAGCTTGGAAAGTGTGTGGAGTTCAAACAGGTTATTTATCAGAAGCCTAAAGCATAGAGACATGGCTTCACATGGAGACCTTGAGCTGAATCTTGTCATATTTTGGTCAAATGTCAATTTATTTGAGTTTCACTCTGCAAGGCCTGGGATTTCTCACAGTATTGTACCAACCTTTCTGAATTAAATACCTATCCTGTCTCTATATTGTTCCACATGTCTGATGCTAGCCCAATTCTATTAGGGGCAGCACAGTGTGTCAGTGATTACCACTGTTGTGTCACAGCACAAGGAACCTAGTTTCAACTTCAGCCTTAGATCTGTGTGGAGTTTGCACATTCTCCCCATTCCTGTGTGGGTTTTCTCCAGGTGCTCCAGTTTCCCTTCACAGTCCAAAGATGTACAGCTTAGGTGGCCTGGCTGTGTTAAATTGCTCCGTAGTGTCCATGGATATGCAGGCTAGATAGATTAGCTATGGTATATGTGGGATTACAGTGATAGCATGGAGAGCGGGATGCTCTTTGGAGAGTCAGTGCAGACTCATGGGCCGAATGGCCTCTACTTTCGCTGTAGGGATTCTGTGATTCTACTCAATCACTGTACTGGGAATAACTTGCCACTCGCTAGATAGCAGAATTCAGAGTGTGTATTCCACAGTTTTCTAGAATAATACTTCATGGATCCCTAACCAAGGATCAGGCTATTTTGGATCTGTACAATAACGCAGGTTTAATAAATATCACAGAATAAAAGATTCCCTAGGAAGTATGATGTGACAGTGACCGTAACATGATGAAATTTAGCTTTTGGTTTGAGGGGGGGAAAATATGGCTCAGCAACAATTTGCTAAACTTAAATGATGGTAATAGCAAAGGAATATGGGCAGGACTAGTTGGGGTCAGTCACAGAGATCTACAGCACACAAAAAGGCCATTCGGCCCACTGAGTTTATGCCTATCAAAAAATGTACCAAACTATTCTATTCATATTTTCCTGTAGCTTTTCCATAGCCTTGTATGTCTTGGCATCACAAGTATGCATCTAAATACTTCTCTAGAGATTTGGGAAAATAGTTTAGCAGCTAAGATGGTTGAGAAACAATGGCAGATGTGTAACGAAATTGTTTATAGCTCACAAAAAAATGTATCCAAGTGAGAAAGGAGGATTCTAGGTAGGGGATAAGCCAACATGGTCACGTCTTACCAAAGTCTCACGCTTGTTTAAATATGTTCAGAATGCCATTACATCTGTTTACTTGTATCTCCATATTGCACTTTGAGTTCAGGCATTCAATACAGTGGTAGTAACATGTAACATAGTGTCCTCAGTCCTCAACTTATCTCTACAAGGACTAAGAATTGGTCAACCCCACCAGTCCTGTCAGAGGAGATGCATCTGTGACAGGTATCTTTGTATGATTGAGCTAGAAAAAGAAATGGAAGTTAGAACCTCTGCATTTTGATTGGGACAGAGATTATGTCATGCAGCAAGTCACTGTAGTTAAAAAACTGACCCAGGTGACTAACTGGGCTGGTTTTGAAAGCGTGAGGAGTCCCAGTGGAATTCTCCAAGGAGGTTTTTAAGCCCTTGCTGGCCTGGGTTTCTCTCTATTTTATTGCAGCAAGGGACAAGGATGTAGGATGGTTCTAAGCCACAAATGCCATTATGATATGAGAGGCAGGACTGCTGGGACCAGCTGGTCTTTTACTGCCTGTGCGTTTCATATTGTGGCATTATCAAATTGATGTCAGAGCATGAGTAAATAAAGCTTCTTACATTTTGGTCAAGTGTTTCCTGACAGTGAATATTAAAGAGGAACCAAATAACCAGTTTGCTAGGAATGGGATGATTAGTGGAGTTAGCCAGTGAGTTGGGATTACAGCCTCCGATGCTACTGAGGTAATTATGCATTTAAGCTAATTTTGAATAATTAAACTTTGGAGCAGTATGGACAGCAAATTAAGACTT